CACATGAATATTGGTAGAAATTTTCTTTGCCTCATTTCTTATGGGCTGGTGAAATATACAGTGCATTTTAAAATTTGAAGACATTAAAGAAATTTCTTGGAACAAACTCATCTTTAAAAGGATGCTTGTCCAGCCTTGGAAAATAGAGCAAAGGGCAGGAATAGAGAGACATGCTTACCTTCAATTACAAAAGATGGGATTCCCTAATCTAGGGGTTCCTCTTCTATAATGCAATATTCCCTCTCCTGAGAAAACCAGTGTTAAAAACTTGTTGATACTCTGGCTATAGCTATTCTGAGTGACAAAGTCACTCTTTTCTAACCTAGAAGTCCTCAAAACTGTGGCACGTTAACTTGTTTGCTTGCAAGTAGGGTGAAACTTTGGACTTCACAGTTCTCTATGAAAAGTAATTTGCCTGAAGTCTGACAGCTAACAAGTAGCAGTAGCATGTCAAAAATTAAAATTCAAGCTGTGCATTCAGAAAATCATGTTTTTAAACTTTTTAAAACTCTCTATACTATAGTGTATTCTGTATATTGTAGTGATGCTCAGAGTGTAGTTTTAGAAATAGCAGCAGGGATAGCACCTGAGAATATGATACAAATGCAAATCCCTGGGTACTACCCCAGACATACTGAATCAGAAACTCTGATGGTGGCAGGGCACATCTGTGCTTTAAGAAGACTTCCAGGAGATTCTGATGTACACTTTAAGTGTGAGTGTCGATACTGCACACGTATACTGTATATACAAGATCAAAGGAAATAGTATGAGAATATCCTGATTTACACAGGGATGTGCTCTTGAAAGTCTATAAATTGAGCTTTTATAAGTTGAATGGATTTCTTGCACTAAGGGACCCCATTTGTAAGGCCCTGTGTTTAAGTTTTAGGAAGGTAAGAATCTCCAGTGGGGAAAAATAAATCATGTGTCTGTTAAATAGATCTGCATAATATTTTCCTTTGGAAGCACAAATATATATCCAGAATGCAAAACAAAAAATACTTTTTTTTTCATTCTCATAATGATCAGAAAGAATTACTTAGCCAAGGAGAAACTATTTATATTTTAAAGTCAAGCTGTAATTCTTGAAAAACAGGAAACCACATATCAACATAGCCAACACAGTGTACCATAGTAGAAAGGGCACCAGGCTTTGAGTCACAGAGTCAAGTAACTTAACTTCAACTCAATTTCCTGATTTTAAAATGGAAAATGAGCTTTAACTTCAGAGTTACAATTAGGCTTAAATAGTATGTCACAGGAAAGCTTTCGGTAAACATTGAAGTGCTTTGAAATGTATGCTCTACCTGCACGGGTCCTTACTCTTTCTTGATAATAGTACTATCAAAATTTCTTCAATGCTTAAGGTACTTTCTGGCACATAGAAAATGTTCAGTACTCGTGAGGTATCAGGAATAAATGAGATATTTTATTAATGATATAATTGTTTCTTTCAGGCTCCACTTGTTATAATAATCTCAGTCTTTTAATAGGAAAAAGTCACTCCAACAAGAAATCCTTAGTCATGTTTAAAATGGGCCAGATAATTTAAGAAAATCAGCTGATTTTCTTCCCCTGGAGAATACTACTGAAAGAGTTCTGTCCTAAGGCAGAAGACAGAAACTCCTATTAGCAACCCGGATGGCCTTAGTGCCTCATGGTATCTATATAAATCTGTTGTGCACATATAAATATTTAATACACTAACAAAAGATGTGTATCTACAAAGAATGATATATTTCACATTTACTTCCACACTGTGATAGAATTTTCATAAGTGGATTAGAGAGTTTGTGAAACCTATTGTTTAATGTAATCTACTTTAATAAATTCTGAGATTCAAGTATTCAATATTAAATAAGTTCCTATTGTGTATAAAAGAGAGGCTATTAGAAAGCTATTACCAATTAAATATCATTTGGGATGAGAAACTAAGGTTGAATTTATATTTTAATGAGGAAAATATAATTTATTTTAAAAACTTTTGTGTACTTATGGTAAATGCACTTCCTTAATTTGTGCTCTCTCCAACATACTTTCTCAATCTCCTGAAAAATTAGTTAACAGTACAGAGCCTTGTAATAGGGGAACTTTGGGCTTTTAGCTTCAATGGATATATCTAAGATAATAAAAGAGTTCAGTCCCAAGACAGCTTTTAATGTGGGACTTTAATAGTAGAGACAAAATCCAGTCATGTTGCCATACCTTAAGAGACATCTTTAGGGTATATCATCCCAGTGTATGTCTTATGCCTATCCAAATATTTGTAAATTAACTTTAGCTTTTAAAAGTGAAAGCATAAAAGGCAATCTCAAGGTATAATTCAACTAACTTTATAAAGGATTGTGCAAAATTGTTCAATGAAAGCATAAATTACAAAACTGAGCACAAAATTTCTTCTACTTGTTTTCCAAAAAATATTGAAAACAAGTTTTTCTTTTTTTTTTTTTTCATAGTACTGAGAATTGGACCCAGGACCCTATACATGCTAAGAAAGTTTGTTTTTCTAAGCTTACTTTTTTCACTCATTATTTTGAACTCCCAAGATAAAAAAGTAACTTTGAACAACCACAAGGCTAAAATCTGTAGATGTGTCTGATAAAGATACAATTCATGTATACATCTTAATTGAATAGTCTCTTATCCAAGTTTAATTAAAAACCCAATTAAACAAGCATCTTAGCCAATTGAAAAAGTAACTGTTGGCTCAACCAACAATTTTCAAAATTCAGTTAAACCAAATAGGAAATGGGAAAGACAGCCAGTTTTGATATGGTCTGATTACGCGCATAGTGGAACAGTGACTTCTGGTGGCAAAAAAGGCATGCATGTTCTGCATACTGCAGAAGAAAGCGATGTTTAAAATAATCCGAACTTGATTTTGTCATTTTCCTCAATCTTTGGGTGACTTTTGTATTCTAACTGAACACATTGTGATTTGTCAAAATTGTGTATTTGTTAAGTGGAAGAGTTAAGCAAATGACAGATGCCAAAGATGGAAATTCAATTGCTACGGTGAATGGATAAGACGTATTAACTCTAACATGTAATAGTATGCTTCCTAGCTTAATAGACAAAGAATCCAAAGCAACATATCTGCAAGTCCCACATGACCAGCCTCATTGTCCCTGTAAATTATATTTGAAAAAAGAAAAGTCCCTAAATATCTAAACTTGTTTTCTCCCCCAAAGTCCACTCTTCAATCCCTTTTGTCTCAAAGTGATCAAGTCTATCCCAATTTCTTTCCTTAGTTCTTTTCATTCCTTAAAAATAGCTAATTACAAATGAGGTTTTTCCTTGTTTTAATTACTACTTATCTATTCTCTTGAATTCTCTGCTTGTCTCCTGGGAACATTATCCTTTAGTTCCTTTCCATTTCTGTATATTTATCCATTCCCTTTCTGTATACTTATCTTCAAATACAACACTTTCAAACACTGGCAAGGGACAACACCTTTAAAATAAAGCAGGCGAACCGTCCAGAATTTTCAATACTCCTATGAATCTATTTCCAGAATATCCACTCAAGGAATCTTTTCCACTAAAGATGAAAGGCAAGGTAAGGAAATACATTAGACAGAGGAAGTAAATATTGAAACAGGGCCATGCATAGGTATTCTTAAGCCTCAGAGAACTTGACTCTTGAGTCCAAAGATCGTTTTCCTTTTTTTTTTTTTTTTTTTTTTTTTTGTGTGTGTGTGTGTGTGTGCCTCTATTCTGGGGAGTCTGACACCTTGTAGGTCGAACAGAGGTATTCTGCTACGTTCTATGCATTCTGCATGACCTTGCTCTGAAATAATCTTGTACAAGCAAAATCCCCTTACCTCTCTGACTCCTCTGCTGGATGTTTCTGTGCCTCCATTACTGAGCTTTTCTCACTTCGCGACTGTCCCAGAGAACACTGGGTCTTCAACTGAAATTTACGGTTTCTCACTGAAGGTTTTAAATCTGTCTGGTTCCACGGCGGTAAGTCAATACTACCCCACCCCCCCACCACCCCCGCCGCCACCATCCTGCACCAACAAGATTAAAACCACCTACCCTTAATGGAAACATAACAAAACAAGGCGAATCCAATCACCGGCAGTAAGGACTTTCCCCCCAAGAGACTGAAGATTTAGATACATTTTCAACCTACAAAGCCAAGATGATTTCTAAAATTATTTGCAAGGGAATTTAGGGGTTAGTGGGGGGGCGGGCATTGAGACGCTCGAAGGTCCCTCACAGCATTAATGTAACTACCATTAAGGTAAGGTATGATTCACACAGCACTTAATCCCCTCCCCCCTCCCTTCGCGGATTTCGGCGCTGGAGCCGTCGGAGGGCTAGCAGTGCAACAGTCACAGAGGACTAGACACTAGAGGGAAAAAAATCATCAAGAGAAATTAACCAGACCCATATTTTTAAGACGCAGTCTTCTTCTGCCCAGAAGTAAGTCTCAGAAGGTGCCTCCAACTTTCCCCCTCGCTTTCTAGAGGGTGCAGCCCACAGACCCATGCATGCCTCGCCCTTAGTCACAATTTGATGGAATCGGTACCACTAATCTCCTCCTACCAGATGCATGGTGGAGGGGTTTCGAAGTGGAAAAGAGAAGAGCCTCGCTTTTACTCCTAGAGAAACTTCTGGGACTCGTCTATTACGCAACTAAGGGACCGTGTTCCAACAACGGGACATCTTTCCGCAAGACGCGGGGAGCAAGGGCAAATGTTTGATTTGTAGACGATGGGGAGGGAGAATGGGTTTCTTCCTAAATTCCATCCCGTTTTTCTGGACGATACCGGCTGGCGGATTTTCAAGACGAGGTGCGAGGGCTGCGTTTCCTTCACCCGTTCACCCCGAAGGTTCCCACCGGAAAAGTAGGAACGCCAGTGACTTGAGTCACCGTGCTGGGAAGTAGGCAGTGAGGCGGCGAGCGTCTCAGCTTCCGAGTTAGTCTATGGCTGCGGCTTTGGGGGCCAAAGGGTTCCCCGACCCAGGGAACGCCGGGCTCCACTTACCTTCTAGACCCCGTTTGCCTCTTGTCCCAGGTCAGGCGCCCTAGTCACCTTCCCTGACCTGTGCAGTGGGAAGGGGCGCGGGTGTAGACAGCACAGGAGAGCTCGTCCTACCGGGGTTCAGCAGCCGCGGGTGCAGGGCTTGGCTCCGGAGCAGCGGAGGCGAGAAGGCAGCTCAGACCGCGATGCGCACAAGAGGCGGCCGAGTGCGCAGGGGCCGCGCGCGATCTTCTGCTAGCTTGCAAGCCAGATACGCGCGCCGGCAGTCCCAGGAAGGCAGGGAGGCCGAGACCACGCCCACCGCGGGAGGCCCCGCCCCGCCCCTTATCCCCGGAGCTGCGGTACCCTGCTCCTCCCCGGCCCACGCCCTCTAGCTGGCGCCACCCAAATGGCGAGGAACGTCGCGGCCCTACCCAGGAGACTGGTGGGAGGATCGCGAGGAAACTGCAGCTCCGGATGGAACACGGCAGTGACCGCACCGAACGCGTGGGTGACCCTGCCCCAGGCTGTTGTGGGACACAAGAACCCTTTGGCTTGACAGCGAGATTAAGCTCAGGGTCAAGTTCTGACTAAAAGTGTCAAGGAGGCTTTTTGCAATCTTCTATACAAGTGGAACAGATTCTGTGCCCTTTAAAGAAGATAATAACTAACATCTGGGGAGCGTTTTACAGCTTAAAAAAGGCTTTTCACACACAGGCCCGTTTCATCTTCACAACAACCTTATAAAACAGATATATTGTTCCCATTTCCCAAATAATGAAACCGAAGTGCTGAAAAATAAGAACTGTGCTCAATGTCACAAGTTAGAAAGTGGTGTGGGAAACTGAATCTATCTTCCAGGTTTTTGTTTTCCACTACCCCAACCCCAGGAAATTCTAATGGGTATAAGGGGATTTGGCAAATTGACCCAGAGGAAGAAAGGAAAACTTCAAGTCTAGGTAAGGTGCTGCCAATTCCTACTATGAACATAACCAAGGAAAGCAACAAGCAGTCTTCATTGCTTCATCTCATCTTCCTCCCTGAAAGAGATGAGGAAAGATTACATCAAATGACCTACTTGCCCCCACCCCCATAGCTTAATGGTTTAAATGAGTGAAATCATTTGGATGAAGAAAGTTACCTTACTTAAATGTAATAAAATATATAATGTAAGTTAATATATATCTGAAAAATAAACCTCCAGGACCTCTGTGTTCTTTCCTATTTTCTTTGGAGGGGGGAGGGTAAATATTGCTTTGCCCCCCCCCCATGAGTCCACATACTTGAAATCATAATCAATAAATTTTGCATTTCCAAATGAGACCCTAGGCTACTTCACTTAATTTCCCATGAATTGTTTTCTCTCTACTCCCTATGCCCCCATTGTGAGACTGGCTTAATTTACCTTAACAGCTATACTAATTAAGGTGTCCCTGATGAAATTTGATGGTGTCTTTCGATGAAAACATTGGAGATCATCTCTGAGCATGGTGGGACAGGAGTCACCTCTAGCAGATAGGTGTTTGCAAAGTTTCACAGTTTTCTAACAAGTTGATATTTATTTGCATCAATAACAAATATCTTAACCTTTTTACTATGTAACTAACACATTTCATTGTAAAAGATGTAGAAGCATAGTAATGTTTCATAATCTCAGGGTTTTCACCACTTCTACCTAAAATGTTGTCCTTTTTTCTCTTCTTTCTGCATCTTCCACAGTATAGTCTATAGTGCTTTTCCAAACTTACTGTATGTAGAAAATGAGCTGGACACAGTGCCATGTGCTTGTGGTCCCAGCTGAGGCAAAAAGTTGAGCGCAGGAGTTTGGGACTACTAGGCAACACACTGAGACCCTCATCTCTTAAAAAAAAAAAAAGGAAGAGAGGAAATTTGAGAAAAAGGAAGAAAGGAAATAATATTGATATTGAATTGAAAGTTTGCTACAATTTTTTCTTTCTTCCTTTAGAGTTGCAAGGCTTGTTGGGGATGCAGCTCTGGTTCAGATCATAGTTCCTTCCATTTATATGAATACACTTTTTTTTTTTGAGACTGGTTCTCACTATGTTACCCAGACAGGTCTCAAATTCCTGGATTCATGGGATCCACTAGCTTCAGCCTCCCAAGTAACAAGGGCTGCATGCATCACAACTGCTACTAACTTTATATGAATATTTTTAAGGCAACGTGCCAAGTAGTGTGGCACGTCAGTGACAAAGACAGAATGGTTTACATCAGATTCCAGTATGGTGGAAGAAACAAGCAAATAAATGAGCAATTCCAATGCACTTTTATTGATTTGCTTCCTGAATGGTGACAGGTTATTTAAAAACAAATCAAAATCAATTTTCTCATAATAAATACAGAAAAAGTGGGGCTGGAGATGTGCTTAACATGCATTTGAGGTCCTGGGTTTGATCTCCACCAGCCTCCAGCATTAAAAAAAAAAAAAAAGGCAGAAGAGCCATTCCAAGGAGTTTTTATTTGTTGTGTACTGGAGATTGAATGCAGGAGTTCTTTACCACTGAGCTACCAGTCCTTTTTTATTTTTAAAATTTAAGACAGGGTCTCAGTTAAGTTGTGGAGGGTCTCACTAAGCTACTGAGTTTGTCCCGGAACTTGCCTCATTCCCGCCTCAGTCTCCCAAGTAGTTGGGATTACAGACATGAACCCCTGCACCTGGCTCCAAGGAGTTTTTTTAAAACATTACTTTTCTCCAGGTCATATTATATAAATGGTTAATAAGCAGGCTAATTTTAAAGATAGTTACCCTGTATCTAAATTTTGAAATTTATGACAAACTTATGAAAGAAAAGCAAATACGCAACAGAGCTGCAGATACTTAGCTTTATTATCTACTCTTCATCTTCACCATAGGAATTCTTCAATTACATTTTTAGCATAGTCAGTGAAATTCTAGCACTTTCTTAACCTGTTACATACATTTATTTCTGATTATATTTCTGCTAAGGTGAAGCATGTCTCTGTTTTTTGTTTGTTTTATTTTATATATATATATATATATATACATATATATATTTATTTATATTTATATTTATTTATTTTTCAGTACTGGAAATAAAATATTTCCTTTTAATTCAGTGATGGTTCTTTTTAGCTGCTTCATGTGCGACTCCTGGGATGTTTCCTAACAATTTTAAACTATGATTTTACTGAAGATTCTAAAATAAACGAGAAAAACCCCTGGGACTTAGAGGAGCTCATAGACTGTATCCCCAGAACATCTGAATAGTCCAAGGGGATGAGAACTTAACATTTAGAGACTGATGGGTCCAGGTGGCTGCCAAAAATGGTAGAGGAGCAGATGCTAGTACTGAACAGCCAAGGCCATCTCCTGGGCCACCTGAAGGTCATTGTGACCAAGCAGGTACTGCTGGACCAGAAGGTAGTGGTCTTGGGCTACGAGGGCTTCAACATTTATGGCAATTTCTACAGGAAACAAGTTAAGGAACCGGGCCTTCCTCCACAAGTAGACAAATGCCCGCCACCTCACTTTTGGATGATAGGGCAAGGCCAGGCTGCTCTAGAGAGTGTTTGATGGGATCCCATTGCCCTATGATAAGGAAAAGTAGATGGTGATTCCTGGTTCTCTCAAAGTGGTGTGTCTGAATCCTATCAGAAAGTCTGCCTACCTGGGACCCCTGGCTCACAAGATCACTGGAAGTACCAGGCAGTAATACGGCCAACCTGGAGGAGAGAAAGGAGAAGGCCAAGTTCTGTTGTCAGAAGAAAAAACAGCTTATGAAGCTGTGCAGACAGGCAGGAAAGAATGTGAAGAGGACAATTAACCAATTCACAGAGGCCCTCAAGACCCAAGGACTTCTGGTCTGAGCCTAGTAAAGACTGTTTTATGTCTCACTTTTGGATAGACCTGCCCATTCTGCATCACTGTCCTGGGATGTGGAGGACCTGGGGATAGCTGTCTGAGTGCTATAGGCAGCCTGTCATCTAGAAAATGGGGGTCACATGAAGTCACAGCTTTTAAGAAGGTTTTTCCAGGAGGTTATTTTAAGATAGCTCTAAGAGTTTAGTATATACAGTTTATGACCTGCTTGTTCATGAGAGTTCTAGAAAATGGATACAACCACCAGTTATTTTGGTCACAGGATTAGAAAAAGTGAACTGGAACACTAATGGGAGGGGCATCCTGCACCGTGGTTGGTTGCTGTTTCCACTTTCCACTTGGCTGTATACCAACCACACTTTGCAGGTATCAGAATGGCAGAAAACACCTGCTGATGTATCAAGTGTAAGAGGTGCACAGATTGGGAAGATGTGCAGCCAAGGGGTTACAGGCAGTGTCCTTACTTCTTCCCTCTCTTTTGTTATCAAAGACAAATTCTTTTTAAATGGGGTGGGGGTGAGAGACTGGCGAGGAATGTGCCTGGCATCACAACGTGGGTAATTGTTTTCTTGGCCAACCTGAAGGACTCCAAACTCTGTAGCCAGCAAGATCCAAGCATTATTTATTTGTTTATTTGCAGGACAAGGATTGAACCAGTGAGGTACACCCCCAGCCCTTTAATTTTTATTATTATTTTTTTAAAATTTTAAATTTTGTAACAGGGCTCCTCTAAGTTGCTGAGACTGACCTGGGACTTATGATCTTCCTGCCTCAGGCTCCCATGTCGTCAGGATTACAAGTGTTTACCACTTTGCCTGGCAAGATCTGAGCCCTTTAAACTAGCAGTTTAAATTATATTACTGTAAAAGGACTGCATATATATCTCAAAGGGCATTACTTTGTTCCCCCAAAATGTAAATAAACCATAGTTAAATTGAGAGTTGAACATATATTTGTGACAAGAAAACAACCCACCTAGACTTGGGCGAAGGTGGTGTAGATGAGGACAGGGATACTGACACTGAACAGGAAGGAGGAAGGATTAGTTTAAACCAGATGAAGGGGAGTAGAGTTCCCTGCCCCCAAAATAAGCAAACTAAGACAGAACAGACCTCAAGGCAAAGATTATGATGCTATAGAAATATGATCGTAATAGAAATAAGACAGGGCCTGGGAGTATAATTTAGTGGTATGCTGCTTTTAGCATGTTTGATGCCCAGGTTCAGTCCCCAGTGCCCTTTCCCAGAGAGAGAGAGAGAGAGAGAGAGAGAGGGAGGAGGGGAAAGAAAACAAAGGTCAACTAGAAACTGACAGTGAAGAGTCCTACATGCCAACATATGGGATTTTCCTTTTATCCTAAATGTAGTGGGTA